GAGGGAACACGAAATATACGTGACGACTAAAGAAACAGGAATGCAGCAGTCATGAAAAATAGGGCACTGTGGAATTACAATAGGTATGATGTTGTGAGAGGAATATGGAAAGGGGTCATGGTTCCTGGGCTGACGTTCAGCAATGCGGTCTTGTGCATGAGATCAGAAGTTCAAGCAAGATTAGAAATTAAGCAACGTGGAATAGGTAGGCTTGCTTTAGGAGCTCACGGGAATACACCAAATCAGGGAGTACAAGGTGATATGGGATGGATATCATTTGAGGGCAGGGAAGCTAGCAGCAAGATAAAATTTGAGAAGCGATTGAGAGAAATGGGGGAAGAGCGTTGGGCTAGGAAGGTTTTCAGCTACTTGTACATGAAGAATGTCGATACAAAATGGAGGAAGCGAACCAGGAAGTTGACTGGTAAATACTTAGAAAACAGCAGGTGGCCAAACCAAAAAGAACTATCGGTTAAGAAAAAAGTGAAGGAAACGGAGACTGACATGTGGAGAATGGGCATGATTAAGAAGTCCGCACTAGAGATCTATCGAACTTTTAAGCAGGAAATTGCCAAGGAAAGGATCTATGATAATACTCGGGGTAGTTCTCTACTGTTTGAGGCCAGGACGGGAGTACTGCGAACCAAGACATATCGGGCCAAATACGAAGGAGTCGACACAGTATGCAGTGCGTGTGGAGAGGAAGAAGAAACTGCCGAACACTTGATAATGTTCTGTAAAGGGCTTCACCCTATAGTTCAGGATGATGGCGCAGAGTTTTTCAAAGCACTGGGATTTAGGGACAGCGAGGGCAAAATAGACTTTAAGCGGGTAGACTTAACTAGAAGGAGGTTATCTGATTGGTGGCTAAAGTCAAGGCACGAGTGAAAATTAAACCCCTCACTGTGAAGTGCGAATCCTCAACTTCATTATTTAAAGGAAAAAAAAAAGATAAATGTAATGGTTAGTTCACTAAGTATTACGGCTAGGTGGCGTTAGCCGCCGCCCGATCTAAAGGGTACAGCCACATCCATCCATCCATCCATCCATCCATGTTGCAGAAGGCAGCAGAAAAGGGGGTGGTATTGGGGCATTCATTCATAAAAGTACAGACTGGCAAAGGGTCAAGCAGGAGTGCAAAGTACATTTATGGCTAAAAGGAAAAGTGGCAGGGCAAATGACACTTTTTGGTTTGGTGTACTTGTGAATGGGAGCAAAGGCCCGAGAGGAAAACAAGGCAATGGTAGAGTGTATATCAAAAGACAATGAGGAGTTAGGAGGAGAGATCGAGATATTTATACAAGGAGATATGAATGCGCACATAGATATAGATGCATGTACCGACCCAACAGGCAAAATGATCATGGATATGTGTGAAACACATGATTTGATCATTTGCAACAGTAACAAGAAGTGTGAAGGGCAAATAACATGTGAGGTAGGAAGGCTGCAGTAGACGATAGATTACGCACTGATGTCGCATTGGATGTATAATAAGCTCAGGGGAATGCACATAGATGAAGGTGGCTCCAGAGGTCTGGGTAGTGATCACAAACGTATCAAGCGAAGTTTTGGAAGAGCAGTGAAAGTGGGAAGGAGACAAGATGAGCAATTACAGGAAAATTTTTATTCAGAAAGGCAAATTGAAATAGCTACTAAACAAATTAAGAAAGCAATCACTGAGGATAATAAAACAGTGTGGACATACACGAATCTAAATAGACTGTTTGATCTAGAGCTTGCTAAGGCACGTGACAAGTCACCCCGGAAAAGAAGACACAAACCCAAGAGTTGGTGGAATGAGGAAGTTAAGAGAGCCATAGCAAAACGTCAGGAAGCCTCTAGGGAACACAGACATGCTAAGCAGCGGGGTGAACCGAAAAATAGATGTTGAAAGAAAATGGGAAATCTTTTTAAGCTGTAGAAGGAATGCATCCCTTCTGATCAACGAAAAGATTAGAAGAAAGGGAACTCAGTGGCTGGAAGAAGTACATAAAAAAGATAGAAAGGTAGCTGCGAAATTTTGGAACCATCTAAACTCCCTAAGAAATGGGACGAGCCTAGAGCAGAGGTTTATAACTACAGCTCAAGGTGCTAGGCTAGAAGGGGACGAAGCTATTGAATATATAAAAACAAGGGTGACAGAAAAATTTCAAAGAAGTGCTTTATGCACCACAGCATACAAGGATGAATCAAGTGGCGCAATGGCTCCATTTTCACAAGAGTGGGAAAGGGCTGAGAAGAGGGTTGGTTCCTGGTAGTACACCAACAGGCCCAGATGGCATTCCAATTATGCTGATAAAGACATTAGGTCCGAAGTCTAAGCAGGCTTTGAGAGATGCAGTGAGCAAAATAATAATCGATGGAGAAGCCCCTGATGGATAAAACCTTAGCAGGATGAGCATGATCTATAAAGAAAAGGGGGACAAAGCTGACATAAACAACTACCGTCCTATAACAGTGACATCAGATGTCTACAGGCTGGCGATACAGGTTATAAAGGAAAGACTGCAGACATGGATGGAGGATGAGGGGGTGCTGGGGGAACTGCAGAATGGGTTTCGGAAACATGGGAGGTTGGAGGCTGGTGATACAGATTATAAAGAAAAGACTGCAGGCATGGATAGAGGATAAGGGGGTGCTGAGGGAACTGCAGAATGGGTTTCGGAAACACAGGAGGGTGGAAAACAATCTGTTCTCACTGACGAAGTGCATCGAAATAACAGAAAAGAAACGCAGGCCCCTGTGGCTGGAATTTTGTAGATCAAAAGAGCATACGATAGCGTGGTTCAAGAGGACTTGAGGGGAATACTGGACACACTAGGTGTGGAAAATAGAGTCACTAATTTAAAAAAAAATATCTATAAAGGTAACAAGGCAGTTATGAAGTGGGAAAGACAGGTATCCAAGCCAACAGAGGTAAAACGGGGGCTTAGGCAGGGGTGTCCTCTGTCACCCTTGTTATTCATGATGTACCTACAAGGATTAGAGGCCAAATTAGAGGGAAGTGGACTGGGCTTGAACCTCTCTTTCGCCAAACAAGGAAAACTCAATGAACAGGCACTACCACCATTGATGTACGCAGATTATATAGTGCTAATGGCCGACAACAAGGAAGATTTGCAGAGATTGGTGGACATCTGCGGTAATGAGGGAGACAGGTTAGATTTCTGATTCAGTAAGGAAAAATCAGCAATCATAAAAAAAGAAAGAAAAAGATAAATCTAGTTATTGGTTCACTAAGTATTATGGCTAGGGGTGGTTAGCCACAGCCCGATCTAAAGGGTACAGCTATATCAATCCATCCATCCACTCATGCGGCGGCTTCACGAATATGATGTCATGGCCTCCATAAACCAGTGGCTCGGCCATATCCGAGCCACAGGTTCATGCGCTGGGGGCCAGGGGGCGCCACAATCTATCGGAACGCCATGACCACGAAGCACGCATTATCGGCGGGGAGCGGCCTTCTATGGGGACGGCAGACTAGTGAGTATATTCTAGGAACTGTAGTTCAGTGTTTCCTTCTCACAGCTGCTGGGTGCAACCGCGGCACGATGCCTTTTCCGATTCCAATGCTTATGATTATGTTCGCGCTTGGCCAGTGTGGTAACTAGTCAGAGCAGCTGTGCGTCCGTATTATCAACAAAATCAGCTAGCCGCAAGTGATGGATGATAAGAATGGCATAGAATAATGCAAAGGTCGCCGCTCCACAATACCTTGCCTCCATCTCGGCGTTGTCGGATACTTTTGACAGCTGCTGGTGTTAACATGTTAGTGCCACTGTCTGGTTCGTTCAGGAAAGCGGTTTTAGGGGTTCTTTCAGCGTGTTTTTCATTATGACTCGCTATGCTTGGGTGAGAATCCAGTCATGACGCTGCTGGGAAAGAATAGGAAGCAGCGGACGTTTCTTGAATTTCGAGACTAAACATTCCTATGGTTTGCTTGCTCAAATCAGGTATACTTTTTTTGTCTCACTACAATGAAATTTTCCCTTCAACAAAATTTTTTTGCACCCTGTCAGTTTTGTTTTAGCGGGGTTCGACAGTATTCTTGCTCTCTCCTGTCCTAATGTGTGTTGCTGTAAATAAAAAAATCGGTCAAAACGTAACAATATGCAGCCGGTGCACTCGGTTGCGACTAATCCACTTCGTCGGCAGCACGTCCTTATCAGTCAACGAGCGCCACCTCAGCAAGAGAGCTCCGTACGTCCCACTAGATGATTCTAGTACACTCTACCATAGTTGCCCCTAAAACCAAAAGCCTCATGAAGCGCCACTTCTGGCAAATGTTGCAACTGACGTGAAACAACTTGATGATTTTTTTTCACAAATGGCACCATTATAAAAACACATTTTGCAAGATTTATTTTTTCTGAATATCTTTGCCAGCACTGCTTCATAAAGTAAGTGAGTAATGTAATTAGAAGAAAATGTATGGCTTTGGTAATGTGAAATTTGTTGTGAATCAGCCTTCAAAAAAAAAAAAATGCCAATTTGCACGAACATGGCAAGCAAAAAAATCAGCTGACTTCACTGCTGTTTTGCAAATTTTCCAATTAACTTACGAGAATTTTCTCTTCATAGAAAGATAGAAAAGAGCTTGCTATTTGAATATTGAAGATTTCAGAGTTTTAGCTTAAGATAACTTCGTCCCTTCGTCTGCAATACCTGAACAAGTATAAATTGCCAAATTCAAGCAGTAATATTTCAAGAACTGTTTATCAGAACATAAAACAACTTCTCGTAGCCATAAAGTACATTGTAGAAAGAAAACTCATTCAATATGGTTCTTCTACACTGAAAAAAAGTTATTAATTCAAACTTTCACTATTCTGTCCATTTTTTTATTAAAGCCTGCATAAATTGATTTCTAATGATTTTACTGGCATCTCTTGATATAAACCTCGCATAATGCTCCAATAAAAGGCTCAGCGAATTTCATGTCATTATGTGTAACAGTTTTGCCGCACAGAAAAAAGACATTGTTTTCTGCTCACTGTTTTCCTTGGCAGACTGGGGGACAATAACAGTTGTCATTACAAAGCAGAGAACGTGAGTTTTCTACTGCAGTAAAATTCACCTATATCTGATGAATGCAGTCACCATAGTGCATGAGCAAACAATGACAAAATTGCTGAACGGGTGCTGCCAGAGTGGGACCGCCACCTTAAAGTGCCTTTGGTTAGGTAAGAATTGCTCCGCATTTAAAAAGATCTATCTGGCATCTCGTTACGACCATCGTAGAGCATGACTGAAAGAGTTCATATTTTTCATGAAACTTGGTGCAAAATCTGTACAATAATTAAACAAAGTAAAGGCTTTACAGAATCTCAGGATAGTTGTTGGTTGTAGTACATTCTCTGAACCTGTAGATTTTCGCTGTGTTCTTGGCAAATGATTCAGCATTTACATCTAAAAGCAATACTCTTGCCATGCAGGCCTCCTGAGTATTCAAGTGCACTTACATAAACTTTACCTTGTTTTACAACAGAACACCTACCTCAACCTGAGGAGAGATTGGCAGAGCTTTGATACCAATCAGAAGCTGCAGCATGTTGTGGATTACCATCAAGAGAGAGATGATCTAGGGGAAGAAAGACAGGTAAGAGGCATTAAACCCAAGCAGACATTTGGTCTAGGTCAACCTTTTGTCAGGTTCTAGGTAAAGACCACAAGCAACATAGATCCATTCTCAGAGGCTAACTATGATCTTCGCACAGGAGCACTTGCAATCCTGTACACATTCTACAGGATGCTTTCTCTATTTTACACAACAAAAAATTTAATAAAAATTATATGACAGTAATGTTCTTCTTGTTTTTGAACACAAATTCAGCATTATGCTGAAGCAGGAATACTTTGCCACTGTTGAGACCAATTACCATAAAATTCCAAGCAAGCACCCCCACCTAAACAACAAGCGAGTGTTTATTCTGTTAGATACATTTGAAATATGTGCCAATATGACCCAGCAAGCCCCCTTCCACCCTATCTCATTACTCAAGTGTTATGAAATACAGCATAGACCACTCATAACGTAAGTCGCCGGAGATACAGACATCTGTATGCTAATGAACGCTGCAAATTTAACATTTAACACAAGAACAGAAGAAAACTGTTACACATCACGCAACGACTGCAAGGCTTCTGGCTACTAGATACAACTATGGCTTGCTGACTGAAGAACTCTTCCTCGACAGCATCATTGTGGAACAAAAAAACCAGCTCTAGCTACGAAAATTGCCCCCCCCCCTCCCAATCCCATCGGGCCAACTAGTCTTTCATATTTGGTCAAGCACGTTTCGCTACAATCATGCTGAAAAAGGGAGAGGAAGTTGGGGGAGGGTGGCATGGGAGCTATGGGTTTAAAACCAAAAAAAGTTACACGAAGCCCACATAAGCAGCGCTAACACCGGAATGTATTGCCCAGAGATATAAAAAAAAAGAAAGAAAAAAAAGAAAAAAGCATACGTGACATCACAGCACCAGCAAAGCCAAACGCACCTACTATCGGGTTCTTCGCCCCTACACCTGCTTCTTTTGTAACTTTTAGCCCTGTTCATGCTGGCTGTTTCACATTCAGTACGTACAAACTGGTTCGCTAACCAGCTGCGTTGCACGACTCAGACCCCTCGCCCTACCCCCCCCCCCACCCCCCAAAGGAAGTCTCTAGGGGCCCCCATTTTGAAAAATGCCCTCGCCAAATTTTCAGTGTCACCACATACGGTTATAACTTGTGTACGCTGGTGAACTGCATTTTTCATCGTATTTCACGTGCAATTAAAAAATGATAACATTGACTTTCTACAAGCACGTGCAAAGCAATTATCGAACATGATTTTTAAAAGGACGGCAATGAGGTTAAAACACGAACTTACAAACACGTGATAAGCAAGTGTTTTTAAGTTTATTAAGAGATTAAGGTGGCCTAGTTATTATGAAATTATTCTAACGAGAAAAAAAAAATGTTCTGACTTCATCCCAGTCTTTTTTGTGCCATGCCTAGTTACCTCAAGTAATGAACCAACCAGCTCAAGAACATGCCTTTCTGATCTTTTCTACTACTTTGATGGGGTAAAATTTGTTACCACACAGAAGTAAGCGCACTTCTAACACTTAAGCACCACACGTGCGTGTGTCAATACGTGCACAGACACAGATTGAAAACTGTCCGCATAGTTTGAGACCGCACTTGAAATGAAGTCGTCCGATTTCACTTTACTGTGTGAAAAATCTAGACACATTAGCACCACACCATCAGCAGCTGAAAGAATGTAATGAATATAGTTCTATAATTGAGATCTCAGGGTTTGCATGTGCACGTGAATTAGTATTCAAATAAAGCTTTTGACTAAAATTATTCGTGAGAAAATGTATGGATGAATACTGCCCTGAAATATATTAAGGTTTTTTATCGACCAATGGCAAAATCTTTTACCAAGGAGGCATACATTGAAATTGGCCCCTGAATTAACGTTGCATATAAGGAAGTGTTCCCCTAATGACGAACGGTTATCCTGTCTATGCGCTACATGCCCGTTCCATGTCCATTTCTTTTTCTTGATTTCAACTATTACATCCTAAACCCCTGTTTTCTCCCTAATCAACTCTGCTCTCTTTTGTCTCTTAAGGTTACACCTACTATTTTCCTTTCAATTGCTCGCAGCATCATCCTCAATTTAAGCTGAAACCTTTTTGTAAGCCTCCAGGTTTCTGCTCTGTAGCTAAGTACCAGCAAGATGCACCTGTTATATACCTATACTCTTGAGGGATAGTGGCAATCTACCTGTCATGATTGGAGAATGCTAGCCAAATATGCTCCACGCCATTCTTATTACTCTAGTTACTTCAATCTCGTGGTTTGGCTCCACGGTTATTACCTGTCTGAAGTAGACATTATCTTTTACGACTTCAAGTGCACTATTACCTATTTCGAAGCGCTGCTCTCTTCCGAGGTTGTTGTACATTACTTTTGTTTTCTGCAGATTAATTTTAAGACGTACCTTTCCGCTCTCCTTGTCTAACTACGTAATCATGAGTTGTAATTCGTCCCCTCTGTTACTCACCAACGCATTGTCATCGGCGAAGCGCAGGCTACTAAGGTACTCACCATGAACTCTTATCTCCAACTGTTCCCATTATGGTAGCAGTTGATCCCCTGTAGATTTTTTCCAACATGTTTATATACGCTTTATCGAAGCCCTGATTCCGCAGTGTCTGCATGACTGTGGATATTTCTACTGAATCAAACGCCTCCTCGTAATCAATGAAGGTCATGTATAGGGTTTGGCTGTATTCTAAGCATTTCTCTATTACCTGATTGGTAGTATGAATACGATCAATTGTTGAGTAGCCTGTTTGAAATGCTGGTTGTTCCTTTGATTTATTGAATAATAATGTTTTCTCGACTCTGTTTGCAATTACCTTTGTAAATAGCTTGTATACTACCGAGAGCAAGCTAATCGGCCTATAATTCTTCGAGTCCTTGTCATCTCCTTTCTTATGTATTAACATTATGTTAGCGTTCTTCCAAGACTCTGGTACTCTTCCCGTCAGGAGACACCTCGTAAACAGGGTAGCTAGTTTTTCTAACACAATCTGTCCTCCATCTTTCAGCAGATCTGATGTTACCTGATCCTCACCAGCAGTTTTGCCTCTTTGCATGCTTTCCGAAGCTTTTCTGACTTTTTCTATCATTAGTGATGGGGTGTCATCTGGGTTACTGCTAGTTCTTGTAGTATTAAAGTTATGCTTGTCCCGGCAACTGTACAGATCTCTGAAAAACTCCTCCGCTATTTTAACTATCCTATCCATATTGGCAGCTATTTTGCCTTCCTTGTTCTTTAGGGCATACATCCGATTTTTGCCTATCCCAAGTTTCCTCTTCACTGCTTTGACGCTTACTTTGTTCTTCAGAGCGTGTTCAATTCTCACCATGTTATACATTCTTACATCGGATACCTTATGTTAATTAATCGACTTACAAAGCTGTGCCAACTCTATTTTGTCTGTTGTACTGGAGGCTTTCATGCTTTGACACTGAGATTCTTCGTTTCCTGGGACAGCTTGCCAGTGTCCTGTCTAACTACTGTACCTCGAACTTCCACTGCACACTCCATAGTGATACTCGTCGGTTAGGGAAAGACAGAAAGTTAGGTGGGCAGATGAGATTAAGAAGTTTGCAGGTATAAATTGGCAGTAGCAAGCACAGAACCGAGTTGACTGGCGGCACATGGGAGAAGCCTTTGTCCTGCAGTGGACGTAGTCAGGCTGATGATGATGATGATGATGATAATTATAGAGTGTAAATATTATAGTAACGTTGACATCTGGTGGCCATCTAATGCGAGTCAGTCATACTATTGAAGGCCCTCCTTTGAGGCAGGAAAGTACCTGTGCTAGTGATTTTGGTTATTCATTGCCATAGCATGAACTAACCCAGACAATACTCTATGTCATGACGATAGTTATAACGAGAGAACACAATGACGACACAGAAACAAGAAGGACACGAAAGACACGAGCTTTCGTGTCCTTCTTGTCTCTGTGTCGTCGTTTTGTTTTCGCGCTATAACTATCGTAATGCTGTACCAACTAACCCAAGCTGCCTCACTTCTAAGATACTCTATGTCCTGAGGTCATCCTCATATGGTACAATCATCCTCACACAGTTCTCATTGACCTTAGTACTTACTGAGGATGACACAAGCTGGTTTGACCCGGAAACGTTTTTTGGGGTGCTTTCCGAAGGCAACAATTGGTCCCAAAAAGGTCCTGCCAAGGATATTTTGGGGATGACAAAAGCATTGCACTGAGCACTTAGATATACTTCCTCAAGACCTTTGCGCACCAAGTAGATGCATTTCATAAGTGAAAACTTTCTCCACATGTTCGTTTAATACAGCCATAAAGTTATTGTATATTTTTGCCTTGTTTCTTTTTTTGGCAGAAAATTTTCTAGTTATGTGTTTCATTTAATGAGACACACATAATTAATTGGCTTGGGTATCGAACCTGGTATTGCGAAATGTCCATTTGAAAGTGTGTTCTTAAATGTCAGAGCCTTAAATTAGTCATTATACGCTGCTGTAGCACATAATAACAAACTAGCAGCTGGCAACCGTTGACCATGCGACACCATTTTGGATAGTCAACTAGCCAAGCCATTCCAAGTCAGCTGACTGTCAAAATGAAGTCTGTCAGGGAAAGTGCTGGGTACTAGTGGAGGTTCGCGTCCTTTGTTGTTTGTGTGCATGGTTAAAAGTAGGATATGTGTGTGAGTACGTCGCAGGTGGCGACGGGAGCTAAATTGCCGTGTTGATGGGTGCACTGGGCTGCTCAACGTTCACACTGATCATGAATGTATTGTCACCAGCCGACTGCGGCAAGGTGTGGTTCGAAGCAGCCTGGAACACTAGCCTATCACGATCAATTGTGCTTCGAAGCAGCCTGGTCTCAACGTGAAAGGATCGACTTCTGCATCTGGCTTGACTTGCCCATCCTCAGGCAAGTCAAGTCAAAGCCCATGTCGAGTATACTGGTAAGCTGTCATAGCGGAGCCTCTAACACTAGTAAGTGCATTGG